AAAAAATAAGTCTAATAATTTGAACATTCTATAGGCATTTATAGTTGTTGACTTACCTCCTTGTAGCAAACAGCCTGATTTGTTTGAAATGGGGTAGGGTCTCCTCCTTGTGTAGGTCTAGAAGATCTCCAAGGTCCCCTCCAACTTATTCTAAATTGAAAATGAACTTGTTCGCTATGCTTTTTCCAAAATTAAAATGCCCTAACCTTTCTCTCACCCACATTTCTTTTGAGATGCCTTACTTTTAAAAACTTTCTGTCTTTCAAAACACTTGCAGCTCCCCCAAGCTCTTTACATTTTAATAACGGAGCTCACCACAAGAGGAAGACTCTGGTTGCTCCGGAAATCAACATTTCTTTGGACCAGAGCGAAGGCTCCCTCCTGTCCGACGATTTCCTGGACACGCCGGATGACCTGGATATAAATGTTGATGACATTGAAACGCCGGATGAGACGGATTCTCTGGAATTCCTGGGAAACGGCAACGAGCTGGAATGGGAGGGTAAGAATCGAGGGACGGTCGATTCCTGCTGTGCTTCCAATCAGGAGCAGCTGAGGTTAGAATTGGTGATAGGTCATTTCACGGAATAAGTTAGGACGTTCACAATTGGCCAGGTGTGATTGGACACAGAAGTCGTTTGCAGAACCTTTCGGTGTACCTGCAAGCCACAAGCGATAAGTCAGGATCAGAATCGTAAAATACAGGTCATAAACAGTGATGGGATTCTATTTCTATTTCTATTTATTAAATTTATCTATCTATTTATTAAATTTATAGGCCGCCCAATCCTGGAGGACGCCGGGTGCCTTACAGAAATAAAAATATTACGAAAAGATTAAAAGCAAATAAAATACAAGAGATAAAAAGAAACACAACATGCACCCAGTCTAAGCGGGGCTGGACCTCAATCAAGAGGTCAACAGCCCCCGGCCTGCCGGATTCAAATTTCTTCTACTACCGGTTCTGTGGGCATGGCTTTGTGGGCGTGGCAGGGGAAGGTTACTGCAAAATCCCCATTCCCACCCCACCCCCCACTAACCTGCTTTCCAGCTCCGTTCTCCTCTTGAGGACAACGAAAGAAGATCGGCTGGGAGGCTGTGGGGGCGCGGCCAGCCTATTTGCCGGTTCTCCGAAACACTCAAAATTTCTGCTACCGCATGTCCGGAACCTGTCAAAACTACCTGAATGCCACCTCTAGTCATAAGCCACAAGATACAAACAACAAACTTAGAACTTAGAATAGCTTTGTTGTTCACTTTGACTGTAGACTAATCGGCATACATTAAAGTGAAATTTCGTTTAATTCAGCTCTCAAAGAGTCATCACTTCCAATAACAAAACAAAAAATATATATACAAAATGATGCATATACCCACATATATTATATGACACAGAGAAACAACACAGTCCAGTTCGGATGTATACATGTAGATGGTGAGAGAAATGAATCTTGCGAGTTTACCAGACGGATTTTCTAGGAAGCAAAGCTCTTACAGAACCTGCTAGAAATAACTTCAAAAACCCCTCCCAGAGGGGAGAAACAGAGACAGACCATGAAGTGAATGTGTGGGGTCTCTAACAACGCTTTGAGCTCTAAGCACATAGCGCTTATAAGCAGTATCCCGAAGGACAGAACGTGAGCTTCCTAGAACTCTTCTCCACTGTCCTCACCACTCTCTGTAGGGACATTCTATCTAAGGCACTGCTGCCACCGAACCAAACAGGGATGCAGTTTGTTAAGACGCTCTCGATCGTGCCACTGTGAAAAGTGATAGTTCATAAGATGCTAAAGGAATAGGTAGTAGGAAAGATGAGAAGGATAATATTAATACAGCACCACAGGTGGTTTGACACCCCAGGGCATAAGACAGTGTTGTGGGAATTAATTATTTAGTAGAGTGATGGTATTGGGGGGGGGGGAAACTATATGCTGTTTGTTTTGGCGTGCAATTTTTCCTAGTTGGGATGTCTTGGAAGAAGGAGAGGCATTGGGGTCAAACAGTTGAACAATTAAAAAAAACGTGGTTTAATTTTATTAGATTTGATGAAATAAAAACTTATTCCACAGTAAAGAAGCCAGTGCAGTCTTGGCAGCATCAACAGAGATATAGCAACAAGATCACGAGAAGTGATGTTAATGGTTTCTACTAGTGAGGCAGTGAGTACTTAGGCAAAAAAACCCCAAAATGGACAGATATAGAACAGGTGATACCTTCCTCAACAATAGTAACTGTGAAAGGGATCTTGGAGTCCTAGTGGACTCCAATTAAATAGGAGCCAGCCGTGTGCAGCAGCTGCCAAAAAAGCCAACACAGTTCTAGGCTGCATAAACAGGGAGAGAATCAAGATCACGTGAAGGGTTAATACCACTTTATAAGGCCTTGGTGAGGCCACACTTGGAATCCTGCATCCAGTTTTGGTCTCCACGATGTAGAAAAGATGTGGAGACTCTAGAAAGAGTGCAGAGAAGAACAACAAAGAGGATTAGGGGACTGGAGGCTAAAACATACGAAGAACGGTTGTAGAAACTGGGTATGTCTCGTTGAATGAAAAGGAGGACTAGGGGAGACATGATAGCAGTCTTCCAATATCTCAGGGGCTGCCACAAAGAAGAGGGAGTCAAGCTTTTCTCCAAGGCACCTGAGGGCAGAACAAGAAGCAATGGGTGGAAACTAATCCAGGAGAGAAGCAAATTAGAACTGAGGAGGAATTTCCTGACAGTGAGAAAAATTAACCAGTGGAACAGAAGTTGCCTCCAGAAGTTGTGAATGCTCCACCATAGGAGATTTTTAGCAATAGCAATAGCACTTATATACCGCTTCACAGTGTTTTTACAGCCTTCTCTAAGCGGTTTACAGAGTCAGCCTTTTGCCCCCCAACAATCTGGGTCCTCATTTTACCTACCTCGGAAGGACGGAAAGGCTGAGTCAACCTTGAGGCTGGTGAGATTCGAATTGCCAAATTGCAGGCAGCCGGCAGACAGCAGAAGTCGCCCTCAGTACTAACCACTGCGCCACCAAGGCTTTTTAAGAAGAGATAGGAGAGCCATTTGTCTGAAATGGTACAGGGTTAGGGTCCCCTGCTTGGGTGGGGATGGGGGTGGGGTTGGACTAGATGACCTACAAGGTCCCTCCCAACTCTGTTATTCTTGCCATAAACTGACTCCTAAGAATGTGTGGTTCTGGGTCAGGCTTGTGACTCATCATCTCTTCCCGGTTCTCCCTCTCAGATGATACTCCCGTGGCCACCGCCAAGAACATGCCCGGAGACAGTGCAGATCTCTTTGGAGATGGAGGCGGGGAAGAGGGCGGCGCCCCCAACGGCCGCATGTGGAGGACGGTCATAATTGGGGAACAGGAGCACCGCATCGATCTGCAGATGATCAAGCCCTACATGAAGGTGGTAACTCATGGAGGTGAGAAGCCCTGGAGATATCCTTGAGGTCCTCCACTTAAGCCTTTGGAGGAGAAGGGAGCATCCAGCGGGGAAGGCCCTTGTATTTCAGGAAGGGATCTCATGGCCAAATCGCTGGTTCAATTCCCTCCATGCTTCTGTCTCTCTTAGGTTATTACGGGGAAGGCCTCAACGCCATCATTGTCTTCGCGGCTTGCTACTTGCCGGACAGCAGCCTGCCTGACTATCATTACATCATGGAGAACCTCTTCCTGTAAGTGGGGCCTCTTCGGACAATCTGGGAAGGAAGGGAGGGCGTCTTGCTGTGGGCCCCATTGTGGGAGCTGCCTAAGTCCTCTCTAACGTGGGAAATTTCACACGGGGGGTGTGTGACCTCAAAAAGGAACGGATTTGCCAGGTTCCAGGCCCTTTGGAGGATGTTTTTAAAAGAGGGCTGCTTTGTCCTCCCAAACTTCAGTTCCCAGAATTCCCCAGCCAGCATGCTTGAAGGCAGGTGGACTTCGACTCCCAGAATTCCCCAGGCACCATGTGTGATGGACCTCAACTCCCAGAATTCCCCAGCCATGTTTCATGGACTTAAACTCCCAGAATTACCCAGCTATGTTTGATGGACTTCAGCTCCCAGAAATTCCCAGCCATGTTTGATGGACTTAAACTCCCAGAATTCCCCAGCCATGTTTAATGGACCTCAACTCCCAGAATTCCCCAGCCATGTTTGATGGACNCTCTTTCCCCCTCCTCCTCTCTTCTCCTCCTTCTTCCCCTCTCTCCGACTCTTAATTCCCCTCCCTTACTTCCTCTGCTTTATCCTTTCTTCCTTTCCCTCCTCTTTCTCCCTCTTTCCTCTGTTGCCCTTTCTTATTTTCTTCTTCACTCTGATGGATTTCCGGGGTGAGATTTCACCGATCCCGGCTTCATATTTACATGAAAATAAATGTCCTCTTCCCACATTTTATCCCCCTATAATAATTCCACTTGTGTCATCTTTTAAACGGTATGTATCTATCTCTAATACTTTTCTGTTTCTCCCTTCCCCTCCAGCAAATGCCATTTTCTGACAGTTCCATAGCAGCAAAATATCATCACAGCTTTAAGTTGCAAACGTAGAACTGATGCATATAAAGGGAGTTGCTTCCCTCTCTGTTTGAATTACTACAGTCAATGCCTACAGGCTTGAAGTGTCTATTTTGTTGGTGAGGGGGGGGGTGTCTACAATTGTTCTATTTCCCCCTCTAAACTTTTGAATTCCAGAATAAAGAAGATTAGTTGGAGAGAATTAGAAAGAGAAGGGTTGCGAGAATTGGAAAATGGCCAGTCTAGAGAAAAGAAGAATTAGCGGGGACATGAGAGCAGGATTGCAATATTTGAGGGGCTGCCCCAAAGAAGAGGGAGGGTCAAATTATTTTCCAAAGCGCCAGAAGACAAGAAACAATGGATGGAGATTAATCTAGGAGAGAAGAAAACCTGGAATTGAGGAGAAACCTTCCTGACAGTGAGGACCAGCGGAACAGAAGTTGCCACCGGAAGTTAGAATAGTTGTCTGAAATGGTACAGGGCTGTGAATCTATGGCACGCGGGCCAGAGGTGCCAGAACACTGGAAAGTGGCCCCAAAACATGCCGGTTTTTTTGGCTGTTTTCCGGCCATTTTCCGCCCTTTTTCCCGGCTGTTTTCAGAAGACGTTTGGGCTGTTTTCAGTCTGTTTGGGAGCAGAAAATGGCCCCCAAACCATGCACAGGTGTGCATCTATGTTCTGGTTTAGGCTCTCAGTGCTTTAAAAGTTCTCCATCACTGGTATTGAGTCTCCTGCATGAGGAAGCAGTTGGACTAGAAGACCTCCAAGGCCCCTATTCTGAAATCCCCACCTCTTTAAGATGGTTCATTGACTTTTCTGGGGTCACCCAGAGAACTAGAAACATGTTTCTCCCCTCCCTTTGTTTTTGATTGATTCCCCTCGACTAGAGAGATGGGTCTTTAAGGATGTTCTTTAAATAGCCGCCGTTTCTTCCGACATTCTGTCATAGGTTTTATATGGCAGGAGAGTGGGATAGAAATAGCAAAAAAAAAAAAAAATGGATCATCATTTAAGCATAATTGATCTCTCTCTCTCTCTCTCTTTCTCATTCTTCCCTCCCCATCTGGCAATAACATCTATGCTGTAAATCAAGCACAAACCAATTAGGGAGTGTTTGTGAAAGTATTTACACATTATTCAAATAATTAAAGTTTCGACAGAAGAGAATCTTTGTAGCTTGGGGTTGTTCTATTCTATTCTATTCCATTCCATTCCATTCCATTCCTCTATTCTATTCTATTCCTATTCTATTCCTATTCTATTCCTATTCTATTCCTATTCTATTCCTATTCTATTCCTATTCTA